GGGAAATAGCCGAAATGGCAGGAGAAATAACCGAAATGGTAGGAGAAATACCACGAAATAGTCCGTACGCTACGAACCCTAGTGATTTCCCCCTCGGTTCCCAAGAGACTGTCTCGGACTGTCTATACCAGAATGAAAAGAGCCTCCCCCCTTCTTCTCCTTGTTTTTTAACGTCACTCGCACCGACTTTCCAGGAGAAATATGAGAGGTGTGTCAAAAACGTTTTACAAAAGTTCTCAAAATTTCTTTAGGAAAACATTCTTGTTAACGGCTAAAATTTCTTTAAAGATGCCGTAGGGTTGGAGAAGATAGAAAAGGATGATTATTGGAGATGGGAGGGACTGAGAAAGCGCGGGAAGTAAGTATAGTGACCAACTGTGTGGTGGTTGGTGGTAGGGGCAAGGGCAGTAGGGGGGAGAACACGGGAGCAGGTCAGAGGGAAATCCACGGCAGGCGGGCAGAATCAGGGCAGCTAAAGCGGGGCGGGGCAAAGCGGCCGTGTGGGACCCGAGGGGCACACCGCACGGCTGAAATTGAAGGGGAGCCACCACGGCGGCGCGTTGGGGAGGGGTTTTAGGAGTTGGGGGAGAGGAGGGGAGGAGGGGAGGAGGGGGAAGGGGGGGCTGCGTCAGGGCCGAAGGGTTGGTTGAGGGCTCGGTTGAGGGGTTGGCGAAGGGTTGCGGAAGACAGGCGGACCACCGCACATGAGGCGCGGCGGCGGCGGGCCGGGCGGGCGGCGCTAGGTCAGCACGGCCGCGCTGCACGCAATCCGATGTCGGGTCGGGGGGCTCTCGCGGGAGAACGAGGCCGGCGCCGCCGAGCGCCCCCGCCGCGCCGCTGACTGATACCTTTCACCCCCACCCCCTTTCCACACTCTTACGTGACCGAGCACCGCACTGGCGCTGCAGATTCGCTGGCCCAGATTCATTTGTGACGGTCGCTCACAATAACAGGATCATTTCCAAAAAAAAATATGTAAATGTTGATCGTCACGCCGTTTTATGCTTAGGATCAGGGAGCCTAACGCGGTTCAACAGGTTGCAGGCGTGTGGCCGGGTTGCATACTCGTACGGGGCCACAAGGCGCAACGACGGCGAGCTATGGTAGGCAATCCAGGAAGCCCGCACACCTGTATGCGATACTGTATAAGCAAAAGAAAGGACGGGGTCTGTGGACAACCCTGTGGAGTTGAACGGTCGAGTCTGAGACCTTTCCTATTTTTGTGAACGGTGGTGCCATTTCAAAACAATACTCAACAATACTAGGGGGAGGACAGGCTCTCATTATCAAGCAGTGACGTTGAAACCCCCGCGAAACCTGAGCGGGGGAAAAAATAAAAAGTTGGCAGAGAGAGTGAGGCTGATTTGCCCACCGTATCGCATGTTGCGGAAATTGCTGATTTTCTGCCGTTTCCGGGCGAGCCGGCGGCGGCGCCGGGCAGGCGTGGAGCTCTCGAGGGAGAGTCGAGCGAAGCCCCTAGCTCCCGTCCCGGGCCGCCCCCCTCCCCGCCCCCGCCGCTCTGCTGTGCAGCCCAAGGCGCATTGTTCTTCCTTGATGACTTTCGTGTTATGAGCTCCCCCCCCCTTTCCCGTTTACTCTCTTCCAGTGCCCCCCCCCCTCCCTTACCCGCACATATTTGCCTTTCCACGCGTCTCGGACAAGCAACAACATGGTAAAATCAAGTCAGTGTGCTACAAAAATATACATCATCATATTTTTATTCCGAGTAGCCGAGACGACACGGCTGTACCGAGGAGGATACTCACTCTTGGAGGTGGAGTGGTTCCGTCCGATCTCCGCGAGCGAGCGGATGATGGGCAGGCGGGTCATGTTGGTGGCGGAGTTCTCGCGCCGCCGCTGGTGCTGGTGCCGGTGCCGCCGGAGCAGCGTGTCCCGGACCTGCGGAGGCACAGGTCAAGTGAGACGGCCAACAATCTGAATTTTCCTGATTTTCTCAGAATTTTTCCTTGACTTTATTCCGGTTTTTTAAAATGATTTTTCTGATTTTTTTCTGATTACTCCTGTTTTTTTTGTGTGTTTTTTTCTGACTTTTTTCTAACTTTTCTTTTTTTTTTTTGATGCGCTTACTGCCGGCCACTTTTAAAATCTCCCTACCTTCTCCCTGGCGTCCTCGGGCAGCGACTCGGCGTTGACGAGGTTGTCCAGGATCATGTCGGCGACCGTCTCGAGGGACGAGGCCTCCATGTCGAGCAGCAGCGCGCCGTGCAGCAGCAGCGACCGCAGCTCGAACAGCGAGTGCAGCGAGAGGGTGGCGACGTGCGGCTTGGACCAGCGGTCGCCGCCCTCCTCCACGTCCTCCTCGAACTTGATCCACCTGGAGGGAGAGAGGTTGGCGTCGTGGAGTCACCCTCGGACTCGCGTCCCACACCATTAAGCTACTAATTTACACCATAATTTCGAACCGGATCGGTTCTAGAGTTGTAAATTTTCCAAAATTCAAGGAAAATTTCCGAAAAATTCCCGAAAATTCCTGGGAAAAAAAACGGAAATTTTCCCGGACATTTTTTGCCTTTTTTTCGGAAATTTTCCGGAAACTTTCCTGGGCCCTCAACCCTAATCGGTTCTTACCTGGCGGTCTCTCGCCACTCGGCCTCATCGCCGTCGTGGAAGAGCTCGCCCATCTCGGAGAAGAGCGGGTGCGGCTCGTGGGCGCCGTTGTCGGCGTCCTCCCCCAGGATGAACTGCACCCGCTGCGACGGCGGCGTGACTGCGGGACGGGAAAGTGAGACAGCACAGTGTAGTGCACTTTGCGGATATCAATTTGATAATGTTTTTAAATTATTTATTTTTTTTTGTAACAAACTGCTGCTGTGTAAAACCTTTCAGGAATGCACTTACAGGTCTCTCCATCGTCGCATATGCTGCCCAGGCGGCTGCCCCTGCGGCCCAGCATGGGCACTGCGCAAAAACAGACACAGAAAGGGGCACATCAGCTGTACTGTGTCACAGTTCATCAACGCCCTGCTCTCTCTCCCTCCCCCCCCCCCCCCTCTCGCTCTCTCTCTCACTCACTCACACAGACACACACACACACACGCACACAATATCCCCCGACCGCTAAAACCCCATCGGAATGCTCTCGCCACGTCAATTTGAAAATCCCCGCCCGTAAAACGGCCCTTTCGCCCGTTCCGCACCCCAACCCCAACATCCCTTTCTGTCGCTCCCACCCTAGGAGCGCGGGAAGGCCACGCCGGCCGTTTCAAAAAAAAAGGAAGAAGAAGAAATGTATTAATTGGGGGGCGGGTGATAAAGTGCCGCGACGTGTTCGTATTTTTCGCGCGCACAACATCCCACCTCCTCCTCCTCCGCTTTCCGGATCCACCCCCCACCGCCCCGGGGAACCCTCTCCCTCGGCGGTGATAAACGCCGCGCACCCCGCTGCGTCGGCACGTCGGCGTCCGTCGGCGTCCGGGTCA